AAATAAAATTTTGCAAAAAATGTTGCCAGTCTAATTAGAATTTATGAAATATTACTGTCATAAAACTTATGCCTTTGATTATTTTGACTTTTATTAAACATTTTGAAGCTTTTAGTTTTAATTCTAGGTTACCAAAATGACCTGACATACTGTATTTTACCCAATTTTGTAAAACACAGTAATGGCTGCAAAAACAGGAAGTTATTTGATTCCTCTCTACAACTTGCTACAGATMTGTTTTAAAAAAGGTTACAAGTTGCATTAATGACTTGCAAACCACTAAAATGAGCTAAACTTTATTCAGTTTTCAAAATATTCAGCTAAAAWTTTGAAAGGTTTTAGTTGAAAGGGCTCTCCAACACAGAACCTGAAAACCTTGGTCATGCAGAGTGGTGGTTTGCATCTACTGTTTAATACTTAATATCTAACAGGTTAGTTTACTGTTTTCTTATGGTAAAATTGGTATTTCCTATAAAAATATAAAAATCAGACACACACTGAGGCTTATCTGAAACTCACATCAGAAGCTTTAAATAAACATTTTGCAGAAAAACGTTTTTCTGAAGATATAAATGTTGAAGAGGAAGATTTTTCCTTCCATCATCTTATCACCAATCTGATGATGGAAATGCCAGCGGTTGTTCAGGCCTTCAGAAAGCCTCACAACAATCCTGTCTTTACTTTGAGATGCTGTCATCGCARACGTCCATCAGATTTCACATTTACCAAAAGGACAGAATTAAAAAAAGGCTTTAAGCTCCATTAATTCTGAACCAATCATTTGTTTCTGTTCAGTAAAGAGTGAAGGTTTCTGTCCCACGCAGCCATAAAACAGAGGCAGAAGATTATTCATGAAGGTGCTTGTTGTGGGGTTTGGTTTTCATGAATACTGTATGTCTGATAGGAAGCGTTTCACCACTGGAATGATMTGAAATCAGGTCATCCTGTTTCACAAAAACGAGACGCTGCGTGAAGTTAAAACATGAACACAATAAGAGGTTTGTGTTTCCTAATTACCAGAGTTCTGTAAATATCCTGCAAACATCACACTGAAGCAATGGTTTTTACTTTACAAATGGTTACATTTTAAACCAGAGTTGCTTTAAGATTGATGGTTAAAKGATAGTTCGTCAGTTTTCCAAATTAATGCATTTTTTCACAACTTTTCCCACAAAATTCCACTTCCGAAGATCTTATCTGATCATTTTTTGTCTTGTCAACCATCTTCATTTAATGCATAGTTTAGGTAGTTTGATTCTTCTTGTTTGACAAGGTCAAAAGGAGATARTTTAATCATTTAAAACCAGTTTAATGTGGCGAACAAGGTGCACCAGAAAGGAGAATGCACGGGCACTTTTCCACAGGTTTGTTTATAAAAATACAAATGTTTTCCTTCCACAGTGACATCAGAACATCAAGAATTTACACGGCCATCTTTAACAAAATTTCACATTGTAGCAAGTTGTTTTCAAACTTTAAATACATTTTTAAATATACTTTAATAAATAGGTAAAGCAAAACACAGTTGAGAGCAAATCTGCAACAAAAACAGCAGCAAATGACAGCAACATGATGGGATTCATGCAAGAAGCTTCTTGGTGGGTCTTTGGTTGGGAAAACCAACATTTTGCAAATAAGGCATCAGTCTGATCAGCAGCAATGGAAAACTGTAAAAAAAGATTTGGATAAAGTCCCTGGCATCCATGCTCAGTTCAGCAAAACACAGAGAGCCATGAGTCAGGAAGATTCAAGTAAAGATACCACAGATGGTCCCGGAGCATTTACGAGTCATCCTCAGTTTTTATGACATGAAACAGAGTGACGTTGAAGATCACCTGGTGTCCGTTATTCCAAGCGTACAGCGCTCGTTCCCTGGCGTTGTAGTCGAGCATGGAGACGTGAAAGTACTGGTTGTGGAAGGGGATGTCTATGTACTCYTACGTGGAGGTCTTGGTGGCGTAAGCGTAGTAAACCTTGGCCCCCGACAGGTGGGAGTTGGTGATGTAGAGCGTCCCGCAGATCATGAACGACTCGCCCGCGTTTCTTTTGGAGTACTCCGTGTTCCAGGTCTTCAGGACCTGCAGGGTGTCAGGGTCTATCTGGGAGATGACCACGTTGCCMGCGTTCTGGTTGGTCGCGTAGACGACCCACATGCCCAGCTCGTCGGCCATGACGTCGATGTCGGAGTACCCGCCCCACGTGTACGGGTACATGTTGTGGAAGCCGGCGAACTCCAGCGCGCGCTGGGCCAGCACCGTGCCCGACTCGAAGCTGTACTTGACGATTATGTTGCTCTGGTACTTGTTGTAGTAAAGAGACCCGTTGTAGACGATATGATTGGTTCCCTCCCACTTAAAGGGGAGGCTGTAGGTCCGAGAAACCACTCCGGCTACGAAGTCCTCCATCGTCTTGTACTCMCGTACGATCTTACTGTTGGTGTAGCTGTCCATGTACCAAACCTGCAGCATAAAGAGTGCAGGAAACGTGTTGTCAAAGCTAGCAGAGATTAGATATCTACAATTATTATTAATCTATTTTCAGTTGCTGTAATATTCTAACACATTCTCATGTTGGACTTGTCAACATATTGATGTTTGGGCAGGGACCGTCTGCGTCCAGTTTTGATGCGTTGGGTACCCCCCACGCGTCCGTCCTTGCCGCCCGCAGTTTTCCGGGTTGCATCACTTAGGGGGTAATATTCTAACACATTCTCATGTTGGACTTGTCAACATATTGATGTTTGGGCAGGGACCGTCTGCGTCCAGTTTTGATGCGTCGGGTACCCCCCACGCGTCCGTCCTTGCCGCCCGCAGTTTTCCGGGTTGCATCACTTAGGGGTCTTTGGGTCAGGGATCTGAGGTTAATATGATGGATCAGGATTAATGGTTAATTTGAGATACTGTGGTCAGGGATAGGCTGTATGTAGCTAATATAGGTTGAATTTAGGGTCTGGGACGGTTAGTTCTCGCAAATTCTCTACATTTAAAAATGGTTAAAATGAGGGATCAGGGTTAATGGTTAATTTTAGGGTCTGTGGTCAGGGATAGGCTGTATAGGGCTAATAGAAGTTAAATTTAGGTTAGTTTCGCGCATTTCCTACTCTTGTAAAAAAAATTACAACGCGTTCGTCCTCCTCTGACTCATCTCGTAAAGAACGAACACGTGGGGGCTACCCGGCGCGTCCGAAAGTGGACGCAGACGGCTACCTGACCAAGCGTCACTATGTTGACACGGGGGACATGAGAATGCGATGAATATTCAGCATGTATTCTAAATACTGCGAGCCTCGGAGAGCACCCCGMTGCCGCCACCACTCACCCGGTTGTTTCTGCTCGACGCCAGCGGATCAGTCATCCAAGCCCCAAAACGCGTTCCAGATGTCTTTATTGTAACAGGTCCAGTGATTTTCATTAATTTCCCACACGCTGTTAATAGAGAAAAGCAGCGATAAGATGTGCAGGAGAGGTTTCCTTCTTCAACTAGATTTCTCGAGCCAATTTCATGCTCGTGCCACCAGAGACCTCTGTGCGTGCTAAGATAACACTGGCAGCAAAAAAAAAAACAACAAACTCCGAGCCTAATTGTGCAACTGCTGTTTGAAGCCAAAAACAACTCAGGATTCACATTTTCTTCATCTTCTGAGCATCTAAACACTTGAATGCACAACCTACCTATAACTGAAACCATTGTTATTTAAACATATCTGCAGGAACAAACTTCCTGTAAATGAAGTACAGTGTAAAAAGCTCACTTTTTCACATAAGACCTTCTGTGAAAAAAAGCAGTGATTTGAGTAAATGTTAAGGCTACAAGCAGCCTCACTTTCTGCTCATTAGGAAGCAATTAGGAAGAACATGTTACTCCTTGTTGCCGTCTTTAAGTGATTCTGGAGCGTTCTGCTGTTAAAAGCTACCAATCCACTGCAGAGCTGACAAGAACATGAATAAATTAGCCTTTTTTCCTGTTTCACTGGGAGGAGAGAGGATAAAAACAGAATTCTATTAAACATTTTTTTATAAAACAAGTCAAATTCAATCCCAGATGTAGAAATTTGAGGGAGCTCCAACTTTCTGTTAGGATCCTTGGATTAAATAAAGACCGCTTCTTGTTTTTAGGTCTAACTCATCGATTGTCAGGTTATAGCACGTACATTTTATCTATGGTTCCTTTCCTCTCTGATACCCAGAGATATAAAATGTGAAAAACAGAAGTTTGTGACAGTTTTTGGCTTCACGCAGTATTTCCTATGCATCTGTTTTTCTTCAGATAAATCTTCACATGCATTGTTTTTAAAACTCACTGTCAAAAAGTGAGGCATCCAGGCAGAGAAAAATAAAAATGAAATGAAACTGTACTCGATGAAATAATTGCAGAATCGGTACAGAACCATCACTTCATCAGTTCATGGTTACAGTGCAACTCCAAACACACTGGTGTTATAGACAGGTCTACACACAAACTAGTGAACCCATAGTCCAGCTGATGTCACTGAGACATGATGCAAACAATACAGGAGGCCGTAAAGAATCAAAAACAAGTCCAAAGGGCCGTGTGTTGGTGGTCTTGTGTTTCTAAAATCACTTATTGGGACCAGGGCCGGCCCTAGCCAGATCTCGGCTTTTCACAAGATTAGTCTACCTCATACCTGCCAACATCTGCTGACAGCATGAGGAACACCTGTTCATGTTAACCAGCAGCTGTGGACTGAAGCAGTTCTAGAGGGGTCCAGGGGTCTACTGAAGGTAGAAGACTTTAACAAGGATCTTATCTGAGATCAGAACCGAAACTTCCATTCTCTTTATTTTATTMTCTATTTCCACACCGAGCAGCAGTATTTAGTCTTAGCTGCATCATGTGATACTTTTYTTTTGAAATATCCTCTGCAGCATATAACACCTCATGTAGGAACAAAACAGAACAAGTTGCCTTCATAAACCTGAGGAACCAGAGATTAATCTACAGAATAAATTAACTAGACTCTGATAAAAAATTACAAAATATTTTTTTCGTCCCCCATTTGTGACACCCCCAAGATGAACAGTGCCCTAAGTGCTTGCCTACACTGCCTATGGAACATGTCAGAACTAACTGGGACATCTGTACGACCCATGTGCCCTGCAGTTACACAYCATGACCACCTGACCTCATGCAAACTCAATCGGACCCTTGTTAAACCTTATCCAGTTCTGGTAATACTTCTACAAGGTGTTTATGACCTGGCATCTGCCTTAAACACCTTTTGGTCTGCATGTTCACCWAATCACTCTCGTATAGCTGCGTAACACTTCTTGTCAGTGAGTGTTTATGTCTTAAAAGAATTTTAAAACCCACTTCCTGTTGAGTCATCTATATAAAGCTACTCACTCAGTTTCCCCATGCAGCTGCGGAGCCTGTTGTCCAGCCTCAGGACCCTCTGGTACAGCTCGTCGTAGTCATAGACCCCCAGCTCCTCCTGGATGCCCGTCAGCACCACAGACAGGTTCCTGATCTCCTCCTTGAACTGGGAGATGAGCGCAGCGTCCATCTTGTACTGCTCCAGCACGGGGATCAACGGCTTTAACTCGTCCATCTTGTCCTTAAGCTCCTGTGGAGGCGACAGCAGCAGGAGTGAGGAAAAGGATCGAGGCGGACAGCGGCGGAGAATTCAGATTCCAGAAACGACACGGAAAACATCTGACAGACGAACAAACTACAGCCGAGATGAAAACAGAGCTCGACGGAGAAATGAAAAAACAGGATTTATTTGTGATTACCTGAAAGTTTTTGGCCATGATGGATTTTCTGTCYTCTTCAATTTGCCTGAATTTGGTCCTCAGGCCTTTCATCTGGTTCTCCATCTTCATGACGTATTGAAAGTCCCTCTGAGTGCGCAGGTTCAGCACCTCGATGGACTGAGACATGTTCTGCACCTTAAATAAGACAAGAGAGCAGGAGAAAACGACWGAGCCGCTCCACGACCGTCAGTCCTGAAGCTGCTTTAATGAATAATAATCACCCTGACTAAGATGCTATAACACATAGTTTGTGGTCGTTTTCTCAGCTAAGCCATCTATTAGTAAAAATACCATTTGTGCTTGAAAGCATCATGTATAATTAGTAAAAACAAATTAAACTGACGGTGCAGCYTGCAGCACAGACAGTTCAAAACAAACATTATGACAAGTAATAAATGAATGTTGTGGATTAAAAGAAACCAAACAAATTGAACAGAACAAGATTTATTAAAGAGACAGATTTTSATCATTTTTTACAACAATTCCCTGAAAATATTTTGGTCAGCCTTGGATATTTTGAGTATTTTCACACAGATGGTGGAAATCCTGAGTCTTTTCAACATTCTGTGGGTTTTATGCTTCATTTGAATAAAAACGGTCCGTTCTGCACCGTGGAGGTTTACATCTGCTCACCTTTTCCAGCAGTTGTTGGAGCTGTCGGCTTTTTGCGTCTCTGGAGCACAGGCTCTGCTCCGGCGCCACCACGGTGCAGATGCAGCGCCCGTCAGCATCCTGGGCCGAGCTGTACACCTGCCAGCCCTCCTTAGGCCCGATCGTCTAAAYCACAAAAACACACGGGTTGGTCTGGAGCTTTGTGCCTAAACACAAATTTTATTTCATTTATGTGACTATTTGTTTTAAATTTAGCAACAAAGCTGTGTTTTTAGGTCTGATGCAGCTTCATTGACACACAAACATTGTTTATTTAATATTATTACAAAGATTCTRATGTAGACGTGATAATGTCTGTTAAAAAAACAATCTATCAGACACTTTAGGACTTATTTTTGTAATAATCAAAGCTACAAATTCTGAGTTTCTTTATTGCAAATGTTGTCTTAAATTCCAGATTAATCATGGCGGCAGCATCTAGCTGTAGCACTTGAAGCATTTCCTGTTCACTTAGTCCCCAGCCCGGCTCAGATTAGCCATTAASTCTTCATTGTCAAAATTCGACTCTGTTTCTCCAAACTGAGCTCAATCAGGAAGCTATCTACAACAGGTAAGATATTATTTGTTCATAAGCTTAATTTGAAACATCTGAAGGTTAAGCTCAAATATTCAATTTTAGACAATAAAAGTCATGTTAAAAAAAGATGTTAAAAAATCACTGACTATGTATTTAAGCCGTATAAACAGCTGACATAAAGAAATCAGGTCGATGCTGACAAAAAAGGAGGAAGAAACACGACCGCAGCAAATAGAAAACTGAGCTGAATAAACTGAACGGTTTCAGTCTGACTCTTTCTTACATGCAGATTTTTAAATACTGATAAATTGAAAAGCTCAAAAAATTATTCAGCATTAATTTAGCTTTTATAAACCCCTGTTGCTAACGAGCTAACAGCTAACGTTTTCAGTGTTTTCTGTCTCTGACGTTGTTAGYTGCAGGAAAATTAGGATTCAAAGCAACATCAGGTTTTTTACAGAGCCTCACACCAACGCCTGCTCATTAATCATCTTTAAAAAACAGCATCGAGCAGCTCAAAGCTTCACACACACACACACAAACACACACAGCTGCATGAGTGGTCAAACARGCACACAGAAACACAACCAGTTGTCATCAGACTCACATCTCTGTTGTTCTCTTCATCTCACAGTTTTGTCTTTTTTTAAGCCTCTCTGTTTCTCTGCAGTGAGTTCTGTTTTCAGCCAATCAGCAGTTCATATTCTGGGTTTAACGTTGTGTTTTCCAATAAACTGACAGTTACAGACTTTGAAGCAGGAACTGAACACAACATGCAACCAAAGATGTTTTTAAAAATAAGTTTGATTTTACTCCAGATTCCAAAACTTCCAGACCCAGTTTGCACCGATTTGTTTCCTCTCAGCTGACAAACGCAGACCTGATTCTTCCTAATCGCGGATAACTCAATAAAAACATGCAAATCGACAACAACGCAGCAGCAAAGCGTGAACAATGATGGTAATGAACGTCTTCCCCTCGGATGAAAGGATTTGTTTTTCTCAGCCCTGCAGATTACACACTTTGTTAAATCTCTGCTGCACCTGCAGACTTCCACATCTTTGGGAATAAAAAGATGCAGGAGGAGGATGGAGGAACTGGGACAGTTGGGTGGAGCAGTGGTTCCCAAAGCTGGAATCAGGACCACTTTGTGGGTCACGGAACATCAAGCGAGGGTCCCCAGATGATTTTCAGACATCAATTTAAATGCAAACTAATTAGTAGTGGAATATTTTCACCGTGATTAATGCAATTTTTAAYAATATTAATCATAAATGAATAAAAATCAGCATTGTACTTATTGGGTTTGGTTAATAAACATTATTCCCATGTTTAATAGGGTTACTAGCAAAGTTTGCATATGTAAACAAGTAATATCTGGGGTCACGAGTGTCTGCAGCTGTTAGTTGGTGGGCCAGAAGCAAAAAGATTTGAAAACTACTGCCCTATCACAGTTTACTGTACCGCAAGGCGTGTAGCTGCTGACTGTTTCGCTCTCAGGTTCTAAAATTTGTCATTAATCTACCTAATTTTTAAAACCACATCTAACGTTTGTGTTTTTCCCCCCACAATGAATCTGCTCATGGATTCTGTTCCTTCCTGTCTGTTAACCAATATGAGAAGAGCTGACCCAAGGAAGTCACCCTACCTTATTTGCGTAATAAGGCAAAAATGCATGAGGTAAAGTAAAAAACAGGAGACAGAAAAATGTAAAAGCAACACATGGAAATAAACAAGATTGGGGGAGAGGGGAGG